TACTTTGATAGGCAATGAGAATCCAATACTGTAGATATGATGCTGAAAGAAAACAGGTTGACTTTGGTGCAGCTGCCAGTTAGAACTTCTGTGAAATTAGAACATTAATATTTGTTCCTATACAGTGAGGCTAGGGAAATAACGTTTTTCATTGCAATGTTTCTGTGGAGATTAATTTGCAGAGGGAAAGGAAGATGGGATCACAAGGAGGTGGCATTTGTTCACCTATCTTAGGAACATCTGATTTGAGAACAAAAAATTGTAGAAGTATATCTTACAATAATATTTAATGGAGTTTATTTTAAATCAGTCAGAACTCCAAGAGTCATAACAAAAAAAAAATTGCAATGGTTAAATCACCCAGCTTTAACACTTCAAGTTTAAAATAAATAAAACATATATACATTTTCTCACATCATCATGTTGTGATTTTCAGAGAGATACATTTAATTGTATGTTATTACTTAGATGCATATTTATTTTTAAAATAACACAACACCATATCTAATATTATTGCAAGCATTGGCAAAATAATGTAAGAGGAAAGAGCTGTAACTGCGATATAAAGAAGTTAAAGCTCTTTCTAGTTTACTTTCTCTTTGAAATATAACACAATTTTATTCCCAAGTAACAAAATTATGTTTTATTTGAATAACATTTGACTTTATTTTCAATCTTTGTATAAGTAGCCTTTGCCATTCTCCTACGAATCATTTGTTAATGCCACCAAGTGGAATATTACTGAAAATACAGTCTTTTTCAGTAAAAATACTTTTACTGAACTTGTAATATATTTGAGTAAGAAAAATTTATTATTTATAAAGCTATATTTTAAAAAACATGAATCAATAGTTTTCCATAACCCTGAGTTATAAAGACTTACTAGGAAATAACTTCCCAGTCTAATGTATAATCCATACTAAGGTATAGTATACTCTGTGTTGGTGTATTATTTTTTCTCTGTGACTTCAAATTGTATACAGTATTGTGAAAGTAAAGAAGTTATAAGTATGATAGTTTTATTGAATTGAATGCTTTGTTAAAAATTTTTTTTAAAGAATTAAAGCTGATTTCTGGTCAAGTTTTGCAGTATATTGTTAGTATATGCATACCCATATAACCTACATTCAAACATACATAGAATATATGCTCATCCTTTTTTAAAGTCAAAGAAATTATAGTGTATCACATAAAAAAGAGAAGAAGATAAAGCTCATCTAATTTACATTAACATTTTCTACACCTCTTCATATCTTTCTATAATTTGAAACATCGAATAATTACAATCCTGTCTTTCTTTCTTTCTTTCTTTCTTTCTTTCTTTCTTTCTTTCTTTCTTTCTTTCTTTCTTTCTTTCTTTCTTTCTTTCTTTCTTTCTTTCCTTCCTTCCTTCCTTCCTTCCTTCCTTCCTTCCTTCCTTCCTTCCTTCCTTCCTTCCTTCTTTCTTTTTGCAGTAATAATTTTATAAGCATTTTCCTCTCATCCATGACTTCTTTCACTTCATAATTTCACAAAGCATCCTTATTCACACTTCCCCTTAGCATAACGTGACACAGTTTTATGGCACTCTGTAACATAATTATTTTCATTCTGTCCAGATCCTCTTTCCTTACCCACTCCATTCATTGTTTCATTATTTTTTCATACGAAGTGTGTATTTTGTGTTCTTGCAGTCATTCAGCTTATCATTTCCCCCCCCAATGTCTTTCTTCCATGCTTTTCCCACTCCATGAAGATCTACTCTTGGCGCTACCAAAAAATGATCTGGCCCACATTCTGAATCTTTCATCACCCTCTCATCAGACTAATTGTTTCAGACGTTTATCCTACACAATCAAACCAGTCACTCTTTTATATTCATTCTTTTGCAATGTGTATGAATGTATGCATAGGCTTAAGTTTAACCATGTATTCAAAACATGCATTTCGGTAAGCAGATACTAAAAAAAAAAAAGCTGTTACCAGTCTCATTCATTTTTGACTTCTGAATAGACCAGTGGGGTTTGTGTGTGTGTCAGTGTGTGTGTGAATGGTGTCTTGTCTCATTCCCATGTGTCCATTCACGTCCTTAATAATTTTTCCCCTTCATTTTGTTCATTACACAATTGTTTCATCTTTTGTTCTTCTATTACCATTCATTAGAATGTAACATTCAACTATTATTAACTTAACAATGCCGATTCATACTTTCTGACATGCATTATAGCCCTTTCATTTATAATTAAATTTATATCTTCACTTCCTTAGAGGTATTCATCAGCATCAGTGTTCAAGGTCAGATCATCACCCTTTATTTCTGTTACTGTGCCCTGCCTTTTAATTTCTCAGGACACACCATTTAATGTTTTTATGACCAGTCAGGATGGCCTCAGAAATGGGAACTTTATGGCTGGTCATGGTAAAACTTTGCATTGCAGTCACATAACCGCATTTTGGCGCTTGTCAGCCTGTTCACATTTATAACCAGTTCCTAGTAACTTGCAAACATGTGGTCACCGTTTGCAATTTTCTATGCCAGCTTCCCTAGAAAGTCACTGGGGAAGCTAGCAGGAAAGGTGGGAGGTGGAAGGGAGGCTGAGTTTTAGGTCCATTTCCCCAGCATGCTGAGGGATTTCCCTTTCCTCCATGCAGGGAGGGAAAATCTTCCTGCGTGCTGGCGGAATGGACTTCAAATCTGGCAAAAATGCTATTGAACCACCATCATTCTGCTGATCATTTAAAAGGCCCTTCTTCAAATTGCACTATTTGGAGAAAAAGCCTTTAAAGCAATAGCGAGAATGGCTGCCTGCTCACAGGATGGAACAAGGCAGCCTCAATAGTCAGCAGCTGCTAAACAACTGAAAGGTAAGTGGATGTTTTTTGTGCGGCTGGAAGAAGGCCCAGGTCTCCTGGGTGTGGTGAGGGGGATGTATCCTCTCCTTACTCTATCATGTCCAGGAGGCCTAGACCGTCTCCCTGGTGTTCAACTGAACAACCCACATTAATACTTAATGATTGTAACTGGGTGAACTGATCCTATGAGTGATCCTATGATTAATAACTTTCAATCAACAACTATGGTCATAAATGGAGGATTACCTGTGTGTTTTCCTTACACTTCTTTTCTGTTATTTGTTTAGCCAAGAAAGTTGAAATATAAACTTCCAGGGTCACAAAAGCTCTAACTTGACTTACTGTAGAGAAACTAATGAAGAAATTTCAGAGATTTTCAAGCTCTCTTTATAATGAAACCAAGATTCTCGTTCTTGCAATGGTTTCTTCTACTCTCACATGCAATAGGTTAGAAATCATTTTTCTTGAGCAGGAGGGAGAGTGATTATTTTCACCTGTCTTGTTTTGGTAACGAGTTTGTCTGGCAGTGGATATGTGACTGCATGAGGAATCGTTGTCACATTTAATCCATTAACTGATGGTCTTTATTATGTAATCCTATTTCATTCCAAAACACAATTCTCCGTATGCTACAGTTGTCACCAAAGAGACTGATAGTTGTTGACTTCTGCTGAGCAACATGGACTTAGTCAATTGAGGCTTTCACAAAATGCTTTTTATTAATATAGAGTGGGAATAGACTGGTTTTCCCCATGCAGGGGTGGGATTCTACCGGTTCTGTCCACCTCTGTAGAACCGGTTGCTCTGAAGAGCAGTAGACATAGAACCGGTTCTATGTCTGCTGCTGTTTTGGCCCACTCGCCCGCCTGGGCTCTTACCTGTCCTTTATTTCCTGATTTTTCAACCTCAGCTGCTTTGTGCAGCACTGCTGCGGTTGAAAAAGCAGGAAAAAGGGGCTTTTCCAACCACTGCACACCCGCACGCAGCACTGCTCAGCTGTCTGAGCAGCTCAGCAGGTCGTAAATTGCACTCGCACGACTCATGCATGCGTGTGCGACGCAGAGCAACAGAACCGGTAGTTATACTGGTCAGATCCCATCCCTGTGCCTATGCCACATGCACCTCTTCTGAGAATAGTAAAAACGGTACTGGTCAGTCTTGGTGTGTTTTGACCATTGTGCCACAAGAGTAAACAATGCACAGTTCTGTCCTGAGCATGTACATGTCACAAACCTTGCACATAACTGATACATGGTCAGGATGCATGTATTGATTTTTATCCCCTAACTAAAAGTATCTTTGTACAATTGTGCACAGTTGTGCAATTCTGTGATTTCAACTGGATATAATGAAAATGCAGTATAATCTTGTGCAGGTTTTTTTTTTAATTACCACTTGGATATACAATATAAGTATGCAGTTTATAAAATAAACTGACTAAAGCCTAAATCCCTGGCAAGAAAGCCTGGAATTCTTTTGCAAATATCTAATTGTAACACTTTTGGATTGATGTAATACAGTATGTTCCAGAAATGTTGAGGCTTTGCAAAATTAAGCAGAACATAGTTACAGAAATCCCTTAAATTCAAGCTTTCAAAAAAAAGGGGGGCAAGGAAGGGTATTAAAATTAAATTATCTTTTGAAAGCAAAATCTCTATGGAACTTAAACACAAATAATATTTGTGAAAGAATTGAATGAAATAATGAAAAACATTGGCGCTTATTAATTGCTATGTTTATTTAGATCACAATGCACTGATGAAATTTAGGAATGGAAAAGTTATTGTTTCAGGAGAAATTAGCTCTGATTTAATGAAATTTAATGTAGTGTCTTTGTAAGTACATGAAAAGTGTGCACATATCGTGTTTGTATGCTTTATGAATATATGGGAATCTCAGGTAGCTGATTGATTTGTTTCTGCTGCTTCTGCATTAGTGCCTGATGCTTAATAAGTCTGCCAATAAGAGAAGAGGAAAATATTTTTTTAATTAAACAGTTCAGGAAAAAAGTTGAATATTTTAATATTAAAAAAAAATATGTTTTCCCATTACTGTTGGTAGACAGTCTTGCTGCAATCTAATGAGTCAAAGCCCAATGAAATAAGTAGCTTTTCAGAGCTTCTCTTTGGAATTGTTTATCTTAATTTTGTTTTTGTTTTTCTTTTTAGATGGAATTGATTAAAAATATAAGCACTGCAGAGCAGCCCTATTTATTCACTAGACACGTTCATTTTCTTAATTTCTCAAGGTAAGGAAATTCCTCATTTAATTTTAATAGTATGTTGCAATTAACAGACAATTGATTTATAGAATTCTTTTACTTTTAATGTAATGCTTAGGTACAGAAAAACATACAATTGATAACTGTTTGTCATGGCAGTCTGTCTGCTGCTTTATTTTGAGCACCCTGTGATTTATTTAGGGAATATACAGCATGTGTACCGTAACAGTATGAGATTGTACCATAAGGAAGTTGCATTTCTGTCACAAACCAGAATGCAAACTTCCCCCAAGATGCTATTGAGGATAAGGATTTTTTGACAAGAAGGAAGAAAGAAGGATTTTGTATGTTTGTATTACTGAGCAAAAGATTTGGGAATATATATCTTTATTTTTATTCATTTGTATGACTATATGCTTTTTTCAGAGGTCACTTGAGTTTCCAAACTTTCCAACTGGAAACTCTGCATCATGTTATGCAAAAAGGAATCTTCTGCCAAAATTCCATTTGATTTTTTAAAATGTTCCTCTGCACGTATACTTTGCTGTTGAGGAGCATTCGCTGTTAAAATTTACTCTTGTAATATGAAAAGTCTTGAGATAGGATATTTCAAGTTATAATCACATATGCTTTATGATCTAAGATATTACAGAACGTAGAGGAATTAAATACAGGTAGTCTTTCACCTACAATCGCAACTGAGCCCAGAATGTTGGGGGTAAGTCATTGTGGTCATAAGTCATCATGACACTGTACTTGATTTTACAAGCATTCTTATGAAGATCATTAAATGAATCACACGATTCATTAAGTGAATGGCATAGTTATAACTGGATGGTTTTTGCAAAAAAAACCCTGCAAAAACATTGCAAAATGTAATAAAGTGCCTGTAGGGTGCTGCAACCAGTTGTCATTGTGAGCTGGTTGCCAAATGCTCAAAATGCAATCATATGGCCACAGCAGTGATGCGGCAATAGTAACTTTAAAGGTAAATTGTATGTAACTTTTTGACCCTGTAATAAACTTTGAACAGTCATTAAGTGATCGGTCATAAATTGAGGATTACTTGTAAGTCAGAAAAACACAATTAGTTGGAGGAATAAATTTAAATTTGCACAATGTTGGTTGAGGGAGAACAGAAGAAGAGGCGTGCAGGCTGTTTCAATGCACATGTAAATCTGTATGAAGTCCAGTTTCATTTGCAAAATGGTGCTTTTCCTAAAATTTCACACAAGGAATGGTTAAAAATGAAGTGTTACAGCACACCTTTGTGCTACCATTCTACAGGCTGATATCAGAAACAAAACGAAGTTTATACCCTTGACTTATAACCATTCAGTCAACAACTTTCCAAGTTATAATAGCACTGAACAACTGGTGGTTATGACTTCAGAGTTCTAGCCATCCCAGCACCGCTACAGTCACATGATCATGAGCTGGATATTGACAACCTGTTTGCCCTTAACAATTTGTTGCCAATTGTCCCACAATCACTTGATCATGATTTGCAACCATTCCTGGGGAAGCTGGGGTAAATCTCCTCCACTCATGCATCCGTCCCCAGCCATCTACACTTGCACTATATCATCCACTCACTCACCCCCCATGTATCTCCCTGAGCAGTATTGCGGCCCCAGAGGAACTCCCTAAACTACACTGCGCCTCTTGCCCGCACTTTCTGACCTGCACCTCCCCAACCCATACTGCGACTCTTGTGCACTCTCATGCAACCTCCTTTGCACACTTGTGTGTCTGCACCGTGCCTCTTATATACCTTTCCAATCCTCTCTGGCAGCACTTACCTTTCTGTAGGCATGGGATTCGCAACTTCCTGCCAGCTCCCACACTGACTTTGGCTGTAGAAAGTCGGCTGGAAGTTGCCTCGTCTAATGACCGTGGGATTCAGTTAATGATGGCAACTGGATCGCAGGTATTGCTGCCAATAAGCAATGTTATTCCTCTTTATATCAGCCATCTTTCATTACTAGGACTAGGAAAGAAGGCGTGCTTTGCCTCCATGTGGCATTTGCATCATGCAGGTAACATGTTGTGCTGTTGTAAGCAGGGGTGGGTTTCTACCGGTTCGGACCGGTTCTATGGAACCGGATGTTATGAGTCTGAGCAGTTCAGAGAACCGGTAAATCGCGCCCCTGGTTGGCTCCGCCCCTTCCTGCCCGCCCACTCCCCACCCCGCCCAGTTATTCCTCATCTCGCCAGCCATTGCTAACTTGCCTTTGCCCGCCATTGCTACCTGCTTTCCACCACGGCCCTGATCTCCCTGGGTGAGTGAGCCTACAAGCAAGCCCCGGTCGAGTCGACACCCAACCGGGGCCAGCCTAGGCTGCTGCGCTGTCTCCAAACACCCCGCCCCATCCCAGGGCTTGCCTGGGCTGGGGCTGTGCTTGCCAGGGAGAGGAGAGAGCGTTCTCCTGCCCTTGCTGGCCACAGAAAAGCCGCTGCGGGGCTGGGGCCATGCTTGCCAGGGAGAGGGGAGAGCGTTCTCCTGCCCCTGCTGGCCACGGAAAAGCCACTGTGGGGCTGGGGCCGTGTTTGCCAGCGAGAGGAGAGAGCGTTCTGCCCCCGCTGGCCACGGAAAAGCCGCTGCAGGGCTGGGGCTGTGCTTGCTAGCGAGAGGAGAGAAGAGAACGTCCTCTCCTCTCCCCTGCCAGAGGCTCCAGTCAGCAAGGCACCCCTTGATCAACTCCAGGACAACTGACAGCGGCTGTGGGGGGGGGGGGGCAGAAGAGCCTGGAAGCCCAGATGCACCACGTGTGCAGCCGCATGGATAGCGGGGGTGGGGTGGGAAACTATCCTGGAAGCCCCTATGCTGCTGGAATCGCCATCACCGCCTCGCTGCTGCTGAATCCCTCACCCCCTGCAGGACTTTCAGTTTACCTGGGGCATGAACAGGTGAACTTCCCTCAGAGCTCGACGCCTTCATGCAAGGAAAAGGGGCATGTGTGTATGTGTGTCTAAAGTGAATGGATAATTCTAAGGGACTGGATGGCTTCGCATGGTTGCTGATGGACTGCACAATCCTAAAGTGCTGGGACTCAAGCAAGCAAGTTCTAACCATGAGTGGTTTATGTTACTTTTTTGCTATCATCCCCTACCCAATAATTATATATGATTTTTTTTTTGTCTATGCTATAATCAGTGTCTCCCATTTTTCATCATTTTGTCTTTGTAACCCATTTGTATGGTGTGGAAGTGCTTTGTATGTACTTCATGTACATGTGGTTGATCTATGTCAGGGGTCTCCAAACTTGAGAACTTGTGGACATAGCTGACTGTAGAATTCTGGGAGTTGAAGTCCACAAGTCTTAAAGTTGCCAAGTTTGGGGACCTCTCGACTAGATTATCAAGGAAGAGAGCATAACATGCAGCAGATGCCTAGCAAAATTTAGTAATACTGCAGATTAGCTGTTTACATTGAAATCAGGTGCAAGATAGTGATGGTAGGTAAATTATTGGGCAGTTTAGTTTGGTATTTATTTCAGTAGGCTGATTTTAGAAAGCTAAACAGGATCAGACCTGGCAAGTACTTGGCTGGGAAGCCAACACAAAATGGGGTGTGGGGAGGAATGGGGTTGGGAAGGAAAGAAGGAAGATAGGATAAGATAACTTTTATTGTCATTTTTTTTACTGTAAGTACACTGGCACACATTAAAAGTGAAATATATATACACATATCCATACACATACATAACACACATATACACATGCTACACACACACACACAATATCATTGCCCATTTTGAAACATAGCGGAAAGGAAGAAAGTATTGGATACATATACACAAATGTGTGTGGAAAAAAACTGCAAAGAAATAGGATTATAAAAATACAGCTTCCAATCTTAGAAGTTATAGATGAGAGAGAGAGAGAGAGAGAGAGAGAAATGAAAAACAGAGAGGGAGAAAGAGAGAGAGAGAGATGAGAAAGAGAGGGGGAGAAAGAGAGAGAGAGAGAGAGAGAGAGAGAGAGAGAGAGAAAGAGAAAGAAAGAAAGAAAGAAAGAAAGAAAGAAAGAAAGAAAGAAAGAGAAAGAAAGAAAGAGACAGAGAGACCTTTTTAAAAGAAAATAGAAAAATGGCTCTTTGAGTATTTAAGGTTGCAGACACCTGGGTTAGGCAAACACCATGATCATTAAGTGAACCTTGTGGTCATTAAGCAAACACTGGTTGTTAAACAAGTCCATTTTCCCCACTGGGCATTTTTAACCAGAAACCAGAAGGAATTGTTGGAAACTGGCAAAAAACAGAAAACCTTGGTCACAAGACTGTGTGGGATGTTGTAACTGGTCATAAGTGTGTGTGTGTGTGTATGTGTATGTATGTTTGTCAAAACACCAAAAACAGGTCAAGTAGATCTGGGGAGGTCAGTCATAAATTAGAACACTTGCTGAGCAATTGGCCGTTAAGCGAGGACCACTTATATTTGGTTTGCCAGTAACATGGCCACCTAGCTACACCCACCCCAGTCATATGACCACCTGGCCATGCCCACCCCATCACATGACCACCTAGCCATGCTAGTCAGCAAGCTACACCCAACCAGTCACATGACTACCAAGCCACACCCACAAATTAGGCCACGCCCACAGAACCGGTTGCTAAGAAATTTGAATCCCACCTCTAGTTGTAAGGAATGAAAATGATGGCTGCCTTTCTTAACACCAGGTCAGACCAGAATTATTTAGTAGGGAATGCCAAAACATGGCTGCAAAACTCAAAGTGACCACTAGATGGCAGACAGCAGAGATTTTCAAAAACATTTTTTTAAAAATAGGAACCATTCCTTATTTTTTGCTATCATCAACTGGTTGTCCAGAATTTTGCAGCTCAGATCTTTCAAATCTAATCCTGAGAATAATGTTTTCTGTCTTTTTCCATATATTTGGGGCTACACATAGGTAAACTATCAAGTGAAACATCAGGATCAGTTTAATTGGATATGACATGGGTTTTTGTTTTTTTTAGTTTTGAAAAATATTACAGTGTTGGATTGTGAGTGTTAACTTCCTCCAGCGGCTTATTTTTTAATTGAAATATTGGCATTTAGGGAAGAAGGGGCACAGTAAATACTTCTTAGCTGAAGCAATTGCCTTAGTTATACAAACATAAATTGAAGAAGGGTGGAAATGCCTATAATACAAGTGCCTATAATACAATCTACATCTGTCATGATGAAGTGATGCATGTTCTGGAAGATGTTGAGAATTCTTGAGCTCATTGCTAAATGAACAAAATTCTGTTCTCTTGAGGCTCATGGGAGGTGTGCCACAATTTATAATTTATTTCATATTTTATTCTGCTTCCCCATCTGCTACTTATACACTTGAAGTTTGGCATTGACCAAAGATATGTACATAAATATAGGTCTTCTAGTTCAGGGGTCGCCAACCTTTTGGACCTCAGGGACCACCAAACTCATAATTTTAAATCCCAGGGACCACTAAACGGTTATGTGGGCATGGCCTGATTTGTGGGTGTGGCTTGGGGGGTCATGTGACTGGCTGGGCATGGCTTGTATGTAAATATAAATATTTATATAAATATTGATTTTTTAATTAAAAAAAGAGCAACTTTTACCCAAAATCAGGCAAAGCAGGCAGGCAGATTGAGTTGCTCACAGAATCATTCAGTGATC